CCCCAAAACCCCAAAACCCCAAAACCCCAAAACCCCAGAGTGTGAATAAATAATTGAAGAGTTTAGTAAATATATGCTTATTTAAGATTAGAAAGATCCCCCATAATACATTCTAATAAGCTTTCACTATTGGAAGTATTGAATCTTAAAACATCAAATGCATGTTGAAGAGCAGCATGGACTTGAGTCATATTATAAACTCCTTTACCTAGATCAACAGTGGTATCTTGAGGATTTTCAACTCATAATGTGACAGCCTTTGATCTATTTGTAGCTAACCACCCTCTAGATTGTCTTAAAAAATAACTTCCTCCATTTCTAATTGAAATCCCTAGTTCGTTATAGTTAAATCTGACTCCATATAGATGGAAGAAGTTGAGGAGATGCTCTGACAACAAAAGACTATGGTTCTGCTTTTCTTTCTTAATCTCTTGTAAATAACTGATGATCAATAAGGTTCAAACAAATGATGACATTCCTCCATGAAAAGTCTCGTTTAGATCTCTTGTCTTCAAGAATGCTTTAATTATCAGTAGCAAATATTTCAGTTCTGGATAAATTAATTGATACTTTTTAATGAATGATAAAGCAGCCACTCCATTCCCTCTGCTAAATGAGATGTCAACTGATAGCCTGGATTCTTTGTCAGTAAGCTTTACTAATGGAACCTTAGCAGGAATGCATTCACAAGAAGTCACCCAGGATATAGAACTGATCATACGATGCAACTTTCTAGCATTTTTTAAATCATTTGTTGACTTCTGTGGTAAGAACACGACAATGTCAATATCACTTTGGGGTAAATAAAGCATGGCAGCAGTGGATCCAAAGATCTTGACAATACAGTCTGGAAAGACAGCTTTGATTACTTTTTTTATTTTCTTAAACAGCTCCTTTCTTAGTGCGTTTCTCTTCCTATTTGGGCCGAAAGTTCTGAAGAACTCGATGATTTCATTATGCAGTTTCACCCATGGATCTTCAACATCAGTTCTAGAAGTAGCCCAGGGTATGCCTGAGATTTTCTTAGTTGTTTCTAAATTCTCTTCTACTTTATCTTCCTCCTGGTTTTCCTCGTCTTTAACTTTCTTAAATGCATTGGAGAGGGCTTCTCCTGAAATATCTATATTTTCAGCTCCAAACTCTTGATTTCTATCAAAAGTAAGCTTCTTGCCAGCTACAACCTGAGGTTGGCTCTGGGCTTCCTTCTGCTGTCTTTCCTTTTCCTTAATCTCTTCTTTCTCCCAAGAGTAGAGGTGGTGCTCTGGCACAGCATAGATTCCAGGTGAAGGTGGGTCAATTTCGATTACTTCTTTATCCATCTTTAATAATTATTGCTAAAATTAACCATTTATATAGAATTTAGCCCATTTATTTGGGGTTTTGGGGTTTTGGGGTTTTGGGGTTTTGGGG